AACGACGTTTTGGAGCATTCAACGACCGCAATATATTTACCGACGTCTTAAAGCAAAGTAACAATGAAGAACCACGACGCTATTGTGAAACAGTAATCCAGGATAACACGTCGGACAAGCATAAAGAACCGCCATGTAATTCAAAATAACACGACTCCAATCCCATAATACCGACGTCTAAAAGATGAGAATTTTAACCTGAACGTTACAAAAGACGACGTCGTCATGAATTTACCACGTCGTAAGTTCTTTAATAAACGAAGTGGAAAAGGATGAATTCACGACGGTATTTGAAGTCCATTAAATTCGTCGACGTTAAGATGAATTAGACGACGTTAATTTTTTTAATGAAGACGTATAAATTATTAAACACGACGGTCTTTTTCATGGTACCGACGTTGTATATAGACGACAACGTCGTCCTTATAAATTACTGTGTCGTAATTAATGACCCCATCATTTTTTCCACGTCGTTTATTTTCAAAATATGACGTATAAATTCTGTAATACGGCTCTCATTTATTTGAAACCGACGTTATTTATCCAATTCAACGTCGTCTCTGTAAATACATGCGTCGTAAGTAATGACCCTGACATCTATTTCCACGTCATAATTCATAGAAAAATCGAAGTGGAAAATTTATTTTACGACGGTTGTGGGAAATGTTGTGACGTAGTAGGTGTCAATAACGTTGTCTATTATTATTGTAAAGACGTCGTACTTATATTTGTCATCTGTTTCCTTTTTAACGACGTTTTTTTTGTTGGAGTTGGTCGTCTATTCTCATCCTCGACTGTTTTTTATGTCTTTTTGCAGCACAAAGACGTCGGTTTTTATTTTTTGATGACGTTTTTTGTTTTAACAACGACGGTTATTCACCGTCGTGGTTTTGTTATGGAAAAGATGTCGGTGGATTCCACGACGATTTGAAAACAGAATACACGACGGTGAATACCCGTCGTGGTGTGTGGTGTTTGGGTTAGGAAAAAGATGTCGGTGGATCCCACGATTTTTTAAAAACAGAATACACGACGGTGAATTCCCGTCGTGTTTTTCCTTTTTTTGTAGTAGTGCCACCTCGAGCATCCCCACTAGACCACGACCCATGTAGACCTCCGAGCCGCATATGCCAAACGACAATGTAGATTTTGGAACATTATTTTATTAGTTTTTTATTTTCATAATTATATTTTAAATATTTCTCTTGTAGTGTACATTTATTTTATTTTATATAATAAACGTATTCTTTACAATTCATTTTTTTATTGCAATTTCATTTTATTACCCAAAAAAAAAAAACCAAATTTATTTTTTACAAAATAAAAAAAAAACTTAATATTAAATGTAAATAATATATATATTAATTTAAAATCTACATTTTACAAAATAAAAAAACATAAAAAAACTTTTTAAATACATATAATTTATTCTTGCGCGACGAAGTATTTCGTCACGCGAAAAGGATATGCGCGACAATGATTATTTCGTCGCGCAATATCATTCGTCGCGCAAACGTTGGAGACACGAATTGCGCGACGAAGAACTCTTTGTGGTGCAAATGTCTGCGACACGAATCGCGCGACGAATATTATCCATCGAGCAGTGTTTTCGCAACGAACCTTCTTTCGTCACGCAAAGGTTTGTGCGACGAACAGTTGTATCGTCCCTAAACCTTTTGTGTCACGATGGTTAACCGTCGCTCAGTTTTGCCCGACGAATACTAAAAATTGGTCTCGCAAAGTCTTTCTTCACGCTCTTTGTGCGACGAAATGTGCGCGACAAATTTTCTGTCACGCTTTAGTTGGTGCAACTAAATGTGACTTTGCGTGACGAAGTCCTCTTCGTCGCCCAAATCGTGAAATGTAGTAGTGGAAGTTAAGTTGCAGAAGCACAGTTCAAGGAAGAAGAAGACTCCGCGTCAGACGTCAGCGCTTCTGATTTTGATTCTTTTTTAAATTGTCCAATAGCAAGCCAACACATGTCTATTTCTAATTGGCCTAAATTAAAAAAATTCATTAAAAACTTATATGTGTGCCAAAAAAATCACCAAAAATTTCCCCAAACTTTTAATTATGTGTACTTTTGTCTCATGAACTCCAATTTACATGTGCTTTTGGTTAGATTAATTGGTATTGACTTTTGTTAGATTAAATATGTAATTGACATGAATTTTGTTCATATTTGATATGAATTTTGGTAAACTAATTGTGTCAATGACAAGGATTTTGTTTGTATTAATTGATATCCATATAGACTATAATCAATTAGTTGTAGACGTAAAACTCTTATTTGTTTTAATTATGAATGACATTAGTATTGGTTAAATTCTAAGGGCATTTGGTTGTATATTATTTTTTTTGAATTTTTAGCCTTTTTTTTTAACACACTACACGGATGTTAGGACTTGAACCCAGGGCCTTGCTTGAGTCCTTTGTAAATTTTTAGCCTTTTAAATATTGCACCTCCTCTGAAAAATTCCTGGATCCGCCATTGATTTGAAAGAAAATGCTTCGGTGAAAAAAGAAAAAGAAATATCACTGTTTGACCATGTGCACTATCTTAAAGCAGTGGGCGCATATCTGCTATTTAGCAGTACTGGCCATGTGTACTCTCTTAAAGCGCATATCTGCTATTTGGCAGTACTGGCCATGTGCACTCTCTTGAAGCAGTGGGCGCATATCTGCTATTTAGCAGTACTGGCCATGTGCACTCTCTTAAAGCAATGTATGCGCATATATGCTGTTTAGCAGTACTGGCCATGTGCACTATCTTAAAGCAAAATTTATTCAGCAAAGAAAAGGTACAGAAAGGTAGTGCCTCTCACCTATAAATGCTCACCAAATTAAAGACCGCGTCTCTCACCTATAAATGCTCACCAAATTAAAGACCGCGTCAGTATGAAAAAGAAAATTTAGCATGTGATGACTTGAAGTTGAAACGAAAGTTCCTCACACTTTTAACTTAATCACGTCCGCGTGGAAGGTGGTAGGAAACTGCTTCGTCAAGCCTTAGTTCTTAAGCCTTAAGCTATTTGTCATGTATATAAGCTTAATTAGTTCTTACTGTATCGTTTTATTAAGAAAGAAAATCAATACAAAATCAGATTAGATTCTCTCTGCTTCTTCTTCAATTCTTCAATGTTCTTCAAATCCTTATTCAGGTTTATGGGGAGTTGGGTTACTCCCCCATTGCCAACTGATTTTGGGGTGGAACCTCAACTTCCTTCAAATCTGCCCCCTATGACAACTCAACCAGACTCTTCTTCTCCTTCTTCTTCTCCATATGATGTCTTTCTGAGTTTTAGAGGAGCGGATACACGCACCAATTTTACAGATCATTTGTGCAATGCTCTGGTTGGTAAAGGGATCCACACCTTCATTGATGATGATGAGCTTCCAAGAGGAGAAGAAATATCGCCAGCCCTTGTCAAAGCAATTGAAGAATCAAGAATTTCTGTCATTGTATTCTCGGAAAACTATGCATCTTCAAGGTGGTGCTTGGATGAACTTGTCAAGATCCTTCAATGTAAACAATCAAAGCAACAAGTAGTTTTGCCCATTTTTTACAAGGTGGATCCGTCGGATGTACGAAAGCAAACAAATAGTTTTGGAGATGCATTTAAAGGCCTTATTCGAAGCGAATTCAAGGATGACAAGGAGAAAGTGCTCATATGGAAGGAAGCTCTTAGACAAGCAGCAAATTTGTCCGGACATACTTTCAAGGATGGAGAGTACGTATATTTCTATCTTTATCATTTTCAAGATAAAATATTAATTGTTACTCATTATTAAAGAAAAGTATCCTTTTGTAAAAATATTAAGTTTTAAATCCTTGTTAACATCTTTTTTCTCTTTTTTGGTCAGAAGAATTATTACGTACAAGATTGTTGATGTTGTGTTCTTTTGCGTGATTGGATGTTTAAATCTGATTCATTAAATGTGTCTAATTTGGTTAAACTGGCAGGTCTGAAGCTACATTTATCAACGACATTGTTGATGGAATCTTACGCCAAGTATTGAGACGCACATATTGGAATGTGGCTGAGCACCCAGTTGGAATTCAGTCTCATGTACTAGATGTGAAAAAGCTTTTAGATGTTGGTGAAAATGGTCGTCGCATAGTTGGAATATGGGGGACATCTGGAATAGGCAAGACAACAATTGCAAAAGCTATATGGAATGCAATTGCCCATGAGTTTGAAGGAAGTTGTTTCTTGGAAAATGTTAGAGATGGAAGCTTAGTCCAGCTACAGAAGACTCTTCTTCATAAGTATCTAGGCAAAAAGTTGAAAATTCAGAGTGTTGATGAAGGAATCGGTGTTATAAGAGAACGGCTGAGGCGTAAAAAGATTCTATTAATTCTTGACGATGTGGACCGATTGGAGCAGTTAGAAAAATTGGCTGGAGATGATTGGTTTGGTGAGGGTAGTAGAGTAATCTTTACTACAAAAAATAGGAGATTGTTTGAGAATCGTGATATTAAGTTGATACACGAGGTGAAGAAGTTAGATTCCAACCAAGCTCTTGAGCTTTTCAGTTGGCATGCATTCCGAAGAAGTGAACCTCCAGAAGATTATTTGGAACTCGCACAACGTGCAATAGCTTTTGCTGATGGCCTTCCACTAGCTCTAACAATTTTAGGTTCTCATCTTCGTGGTATAGTTATACGACGTTGGCAAGTTATATTAGATGGTTACGAAGGAGAACCTTATACAGATATTGAAAGAATACTTCAAAAAAGTTATGATGCCTTGGATCACCGCGCAAAAGATTATTTTCTCGACATTGCATGTTTCTTCAAGTGTGAAGATAAGGACTATGTGCTACAAATAGTACCCCAAAAATTCATTGAAGAATTCGTTGATAAGGCATTGATAACTATTGAACTGAATTATAGGATTTTAATGCATGACTTGCTAGCAAACCTGGGCAAGGTTATAGTTCGCAAAGAATCCCCCGATGATCCTGGCCAGCGTAGTAGATTGTGGTTTTACGAGGATGTCAAACGAGTTCTGACGGAAAGTACAGTAAGTATTACATATGTTATTATATTCAATTTGACAAGAAAGAATACCTTATTTTACCTTAATTTTCTTAACAAAATGTGCTTGCATTTTGATTTGTACAATGACTTCGTTTCCTAATTAATGCTTTTCCATCTTAGGGAACAAGGAATATTAAAGGCATCGTGGTGAAGTTTCCAGAACCAGCTGAGATAACCTTGAATCCAGAATGCTTCCGTAATATGGTAAATCTTCAAATTTTCAAAATCCATAATGCATCTCTACGTGGGAACATTAACTATCTGCCCAACGCGTTAAGAATTATTGATTGGCCTAGTTGTCAGTTACAATCTTTGCCACCCAATTTTCAAGGAAATCGTCTTGTTGAGTTCGAAATGCCTGGCAGTCATATCAGACAATTGGAGGGATTTAAGGTATGTATTTGAAATTATTTTCATCTATTATATATAATTTCAAATAGAGTTGTTAATTTCATAAGGAAAAACACGAAATTTGTTTTCTAAGTTTTTGTCTTTTGAAGCGCGTGATTAATTATTTCCTGTTTTTGTGTTCTTGTCTCACAGCATTTGCCAAACCTGACATATATGAATTTGAGTGATAGTCAATTCTTAGAAAAAATCCCAGACTTATCCGGAATCCCAAACATAGAGTTCTTGGATCTAAGTAACTGTACAAGTTTGGTTGAGGTCCACGATTCTGTTGGATTCCTTGATAAACTTGTTGAATTAAATCTCGCTGGATGCGTTAATCTTACGAGGTTTGGAACAAGACTTAGATTGAAATCCTTAGAAAGCATTTGGCTAGATGATTGTAAAAGGCTTGAGAGTTTCCCAGAAATAGAAGTGGAGATGGAATCACTACTGACATTGACTATGGATGGAAGTGGCATAAGAGAATTGCCTCTATCAATTGCGAATCTTACTGGGCTTAAATTGTTGAGTCTTCCAAGATGCTTCAATCTTAATGAATTACAGCTGCTTTATTGCTTGTCCACATTACAATTTCTGTATCTAAGTGGATACAATTTTGTCACGCTTCCGGAATGCATTAGCAAATTTGTGAGGTTGTACAAGCTTAGCTTGCGTGATTGCGAGAGTCTTCTAGAAATTCCACAAGAAGTGCTTCCACTAAGTTTACATAAGTTATACCTGGATAACTGCACATCATTGGAAAAAATTCCAAAACTGCCACTATCAGCGAGGGATAAGCAACTGTTTTTGATGAATTGCGATAGACTACGTGGCTATGACATCACAGAAAATAGTATTCTGGATCAGGTTTCTGTCTCTTCTCTCTCTGTGTCTCTCTTTGTCTCTCCCTCTATGTTATATGGTTAAGAAGATGATTGTTGTAACCAATTGTATTGTAGGTATCTTCTCATCCGCAATCTGAATTTGAAATTACTCTTCCAGGCGATGAAGTACCAAAGTGGTTCAGCTGTTGTAAAGATGCAACACTAGTTAAATATGCAGATGATGAAGAGGAATTATGCCATGCTCGATGTGAAGTTTGTTTTGAAATTCCTCCAAATTTAGATTGGAAGACGTTAAGATTGGTTCTATGTGTTGTTAATAAAGGAGGGCCATTTTATTTTGGGGCAAATACACGTGTTCATATCAATAGAAAAGAGGTCCAATCGATATTTATGCTGCTAAAGGAAAGTCATATGGGCACTCATGTGGCTCTTCAGTGTATTCCATTATTGAATCTGAGCAACTTACGTGTGGGGGAAGAACTGACGCGATTGCAACAGGGTAATATGTGTCAAATTATATTTGAGTTCCGTAGACCGCGATTGCCCACCCTGATTGACATACCCACACCCGTCAAAATCCTCTGCGGGGTCCACCTATTAGGCCACCAGGTGTTGTTGCCTGATGTGATGGCAGTGAACGATGATATTCATGATGATCAACACCAAGACAACGAATTGCTTTCCTTGCCTTCGACATCAGAGACTAGTGTTGGCAAGAAGAGGCCTCGGTTATCAGATTTCATGGCACTTGATGATGATCATCGTGCTAACGTCGTCGAAGTTAGTGATCATGAAGCTCAAAGGGGAGAGGCGAATCACCCAAAGAGGAGGCACACTGATCTTAACGAGGAGCCAAAGTATGTAAATCCATTAAATGTTGAATGATATCTTTGCATTTTCTGGTCATATATCTGCGTTTTGTGTTCAATTCCAATTTAGCAATATTTTGCTGTGCATCTCTGGGGTATATGTTGTAGTTTTCAGGGTGTGAATTTTTGTTCTTTTTGTTTTGGGTTAAATCCTTTTTCTTAGCGCTCTACATTCGATATTAAATTTTCAGGCAATGAAGTTCCAAAGTGGTTTATGTAAGCCCCAGGTTCAGCTGTTGAAACGAACCAAATTTCCAGGCAATGGTCTGGTAATCAAGAGGTGTGTTGAGGCGCCAGCAGTTTCTGAGATTCCATTTTAAGTTGCATAAGGCAATACCTTTCTTCTCAATTGATGCATCCAGCATTTATCCGCAGATGAACAAAACTGGTTGCAAGCCGGATTCTTCCATCTCATTCATTGGAATTGATGTATTTTTGGGGATGAAATGTAACAGATTTATCTATTTCATAATTTCCAATTAAGGTTTGTTAAAAATCAGACATTAATTGTAAACATGCGTCCAAATATGCCCAAAATATTTTTGTTGAAAGATTGTGTCTCATTACACCAGTAATCTTGCTGGTATTGGCAAGGTACAAGAATCCTAGCATGTCTAAATCATGTCAAGTTGCTGCAACTCACGTTGCTGGTATAGTTCAAGATTTTTTGATAATCTTGCAAGGACACGGAATGAAAAGCTTGATGAGCAGCAATAGTGTCATGCATATTATGTTGTTTTCGAACTCCTGTCTAGTTTGCGAATAGATTTTGGTTCTTTGAATACCAGTTGCTGTTTGAACAGCCCGGGTAGAGCTAACATCTCCAATGGCTCCATTACCCAAAAAGAATTTGGGTTTAGATACTAAGAAAAAGACACCAGGAATTATAACTTCTTTCTTTGTTCACGAAAGCGCATTATTATTGTCATTGCATAACCGGATAGCTACTGTAGATGCCGAATGTCTAATTTTATCCACCAAAAATTACAAGGGACATATCATAGTCAAAAAGATAACTACAACTTACAATGTGAACGGACACCAAGTAAAACTCATGACATATAGGAATAAATGTCCCTACAACACAAACAAAAATTCACTTCATACAGCATTATTATAACAAGAGAGAGGCACACAGCAGTGTAAATGTAGACAAATATGCACGGCAGAACCATGTGTCCGTGGAGCGCTGCAAAACCGCCCACATTGCCGCAAAGAAAAAGCTCCGCATTGAAATGGCTCAAACCAACATATTCAAGCATCACCAACTTGGTTATATTCCTACATAAGCCACTGTCCAACAAATACAAAAGCCTATACCTCATTTTTGCCACCATTCTTGGTGTATGGTGCCTTTACAGCTCTGCATGGTGGCCTTGAAACTTGTTTGAATTGAGTTGTATTTCCTATCATGTAGCCAGCCACACCGAAAGACCATGCACATACCACAAAGCAAACAATCTCGAACAATCATGATCGAAAGTGTGCCATTCTGAACAGTTTTAGCCAAGCAAATCTTTAAACAAGTTGGGATTCTGACTTGTTGGGGTCACACCCATCTGCCTTACACGTGCATCCTTTTCCAAGGAATCTTTAGGGTTAGGACCCTTATTCAATTGTGTTACCCCACTTTGAGCATTTCTTGTAGCATTTGATAACTCAGATGCAAGATTTAACTCATCCCTATTGGTCGGCAAAGGGTCGCCAACACTGCTACTAAGCCCGCTGAGAGATGTATCTGCATATAATCCCATAATATCAGGTGTCTTAGCAGCACCAGCTGCACCATGATTTGCAGTTAATGCAACTTCAGTTTGATCAAGAAGCCCTTCTAACTGCTTGAAAGGATCTACAGTGGAAGCAGTACTACTAGTTGAGTCACCCAAATCGAGCAAGTCTGGAGCAGGTTCATGATTAACTTCAGTGTGTACAGCTGCTGCCTTTGGTACCTGGGGCTTCTCCGAAGCATGGATATTCGCCTTAGACACCTTATGGTTGGCAGAAGATGGCCTCCTCTCGGTTTTTGATGATCCCCCAAACAGTGAACTGGCAAGCTTCTGCTTTTCTGGAGAAATTTCAACCTGGGGCCTCCTTGACTCATAAGTATCACGTGCTTTTGAATTTGAAGTGCTCACGCTATCTATTTGTGTGACCCCATTCGCTGATTTCTGGGAACTAGAACTAGAGGAATTTGAGATCGACAATGCTGGGGAGGAATATGTTGGCCTGCCCCATTTTCTTTGAACACCGTCTAGTCGTAACTTAAGTTCCGATGATCCTGCATCTGACACAGGTGGCAATGATGCAGGCTGGCGGATCTCCCTAGCATAAGACGGTTCAGGAACTGGAACAAGCTCGGTTGAGGATGCAACTGCAGCTGGAGGAATTCTTGATGGCACTGCTGGCTTTGGAAGCTCATATGCCTCAAACCTAAGACCATGGGTTAAAGCTTCATGCTGATCTTGGTTACTGAAGTTGCTGATATTTAACATTCCAGAGCGCTCATTCTCAGGAATATAGGGCTGAGCACCTTTCTCTAGTGCTTGCTGGACATAGTCATTGAGGAATGAAAGGCTTTTATCAATCTGCAAGAGAAGATGAATATTAATATTACACAAAATAAGATTATTGAAGAAATAAATAAATAAATGGCTTCCGCATGATCCAAAATCAAGGTTTTCAAGCATATTAGAGAAATACAATTGCAAAATCCATGAAAATAGCAACTTATATCTGAAGGGAAGAAATAAGATGCAAGGACCAGGGACGAAGAAGTCAGGAAACTAATTAAAGCATGTCGTTTAATACCAATTAGAATCACTTGATTAACATCCAGGTATTACCAACCAAAGGCAGCTACATAAATTAAGTTTCGCCAGTATAATATGATGCATGTTGGTCAAATAAGCAATTTTAATCATTCATAAACTGATTCTGAATTTTTCTCGATCTAAACCACAAGATCTATATCATCATGTTTATATGCACCAAAACTACAATAAAGCAATCTTTGTAATTTTTTTTTTTTACAAGGAAATCTACAATTAGTGCCTCCATCACGAGCATACATACTAAGTGTCAAGCAATAATAAGGCTTCAGAAACCCATGTACAATTTAATAATGATAACAGACATTATCACAATTGGGACCTGAAGATTATTATCTTCACATTGATCCATGCATGCATACATACACGAGAATGATAAAAGAAGGGAAAGCAATAATTTGCTGACCCTATTAAAACCTGTGCAGTTGATAACTGTATACATATATACATTCATAGCACATTTTCAAAATTTACCAAATAAAATATCGGATGGTCAAGAACAGCATTAACCAAACAATACATGACATCTTTCTACTTAAACAGAGTAAGGTATCTAGTCAGATTATTTTTCAGTCAACATTTACGATGGCCTTTTTCTTGGACCTAAAAAAGTCCCTCATTTAATGATTTGCTTGCCTATTTATAGGGGCTGACTGTTCAGTATTTAAAAAATATCACTAATGCCCTTGCAATTGTCAGATATGGGCCCTTACTTTTTCTCAAACTTCATCCCATAAGTAGTACGGATAGGGCATATTTGACAAGGAAGCAAGCAAAGCTATTCCTTCCGCATTCACAGTCAGTTAGGATACATGTTCATTTGTCATAGTATTTCTATTTTGGAAAATATTCTTCTGGATCTATAGAGTTTTAAAAATATTTAATGTTGTGTCATGATTCATAATAACGTATATGTGAAACACAAACACAATCATGTTTTGAAAAACTGAATTATGTTGCATCAAAGATAATGTATCCATATGAGAAAGTACATTATCACGATGTGGAAAAGTGGTACGTCCTATTAGAACAATTTACAAGGCAACTACATTTTTTAATGAGACATACATTAATTCACTTTCCTTATACCTAATTTATATTCATCAAGGATTCTATTTGACATATCTCAACAAATGCTTTCTAAAAGATGCATTTTGTAAAAATAAAATAAAAACCAGAGAAAATTAAAGTTACAATATATCGTTTGGCATATAACAATAAGAGGGTCACCAAACTTAATGCAATCACAAGGTTAAACAACCATTAGACTTTACCATTAGAAAACAGGAAGTTCAGACAGTAAGCCAACAACCACCAAATAACAAGGAAAAGAGAAATGCAGAACTACTATAGTTCTTAATACTTTAAAGGAGAAGCAAAAAAAAGAAGGGTATGAGTAGATAATGCAATTAAATATGACCTCAATGTCTTCACAACTTGCATCTGATGGCATAATACTCTCAACTGCAGGAGCATCTAAGCTAATGACAGCTTGCAATTCATATGCACGCTGCTGCAGATCTGTTGAGTGAGAAGCTGACAATTCTTCCACCAAAGATTGACACTGCAAGGGAAGAAAGATTTTTATCAATCGATATATACTTCCATGACAGGCCAAAACAAAATGAAAATGACAACATTATAGCTAATCATTGATTAGATGAATGTCAACATTATAATGGTGTCCAGAAAACTTCAACTTAAAAAAAGCATTAAACATTCATCATGCAACTAAAGAGCTCTGGACCTCAAAGCTAGGGCCACTGATCATTGACACACACATGCACACATTTTTACGTGCACATTACAAATGCTGCACATAATATCTGAATGTTATCAAGCACATTTCTCCCTTAACTAGCATTAACCATTGTATAAAGTAAAATTGTACTATGTTTCTTTCTTATAGAAACTATTTCAAAAGAGCCCCATCACCAACCACTTAAAAAACATTTCAACTATGATTCAACTTCTTGCTGACTAAGCCTTCAATCATAAAAAGATTAGGAAACTACATGCATACATACATACATGTAGTCAACCATTCAAGAGTGGATGATCTACAGTGCACACGTCATTCTGCTAGAGCTGATGTTGAATTCTGTGAAAGCGGCTTGAGCAGCTGCTCAGTCCGTTTTGTTTTCAAGTCTCCTTTCTGTTTTCATTTTACATCTTTAATTTTTGTTTCAAAACAATTTGTTACTTTAGGATGTAGAATCACTTGTTAGGGCTTTAGAGTTTATGGTTTAACTATTGTGAATGGTAGCCGATTGAGAGCTAAACCCGATACCCTAAGCACTAAATGGATGATTTGAAGGCCCACCAAACAGGAAAACTTAACCCTAAACCCTAAAGCTAAGCTCTGAACAGGTGAAAAAGCAAAAATAGCAAACACGCTCATTACACCTTAAGTGAATTGAACAGCAGCTTAAACGAACATAGGAGAATTCAAATCCTTTTTTCCCAAACTACTAGGAGAATTCTGCTCTGCCACTCATCCATCAAAATCCATGTTAATCATTACATCTTTTGATTAAACATCTTGTTCAGATTTAGCTATGCTCTTTAGAGAAATTCAACCCACTACTAAAAGCATATTTACATACAATGCAATTTCCATCATTCGGGAAGAATAAATTCATTCCAGTCATGACTGATGCTAATCTATAAAGGGATGCCTGTTCAATCTGGTGTGCAAACTGCACGGTGAGATTTGAACTTTCAATCTTTCAACTTAATTTTCAGTCAAAGATCTGCAAGTTGACAAATCTTATCTTCTCTCAGGGAAAGCAAAATAAAATGGCATAAATACCAGTAGAACTCTCACAATTGTGAGCATAAATACTAATCATAATGCATTATTTTTAGCAGGAAACTAAAAGAAAAAAACCACTCGTAGGAAAACAACTGATTCAACCTCAGATACAAATGCAAAAATTAGGACCATACTGAACAA